TTTTAATAATACTAAATCTTCTGATCATCAATATGGATGTCTTTCCATCTTTACATTTAGATCTTTAATTTCTTTCAACTTTTTTTTTTTTTTTAGCTTTCAGAGTATAAGTCTTACAGTTCTTTTGTGGAATTTATTTCTAAATATTTTAATTTTTTGATGCTGTTGCCAGTGGAATTGTTTTCTCCATTTCATTTTTGAGTTGTTCATTGCCCGTGTATGGAAATACAATTGAGTTTTGTGTGTTGATCTTGTACCTTGCTGACTCACTGAACTAATTTATTAGTTCTAATAGTTTTTTGATGGATTCCTTAGGATTTTCTTAGGATTTGCATGTCATCTGCAAATAGAAATAGTTTTCTAGTCAGGATGCCTTTTGTGTGTGTGTGTGTGTGTGTGTGTGTGTGTGTGTGTAAGTAACTGCCCTGGCTAGAACCCCCAGTACAATGTTGAATAGAAGAGGTAGAGTTAGCTGGGTGTGGTGGCTCATGCCTGTAATCCCAGCACTTTGGGAGGTTGAGGTGGGCAGATCACTTGATGTCAGGAGTTCGAGACCAGCCTGGCCAATATGGCAAAACCCTGTCTCTACTAAAAATACAAAAATCAGCCGGGTGTGGTGGTGCATGCCTGTAATCCCAGCTACTTGGGAAGCTGAGGCAGGAGAATCGCTTGAACCCGGGAGGCAGAGGTTGCAGTGAGCCGGGACTGCACCACCGAGATTGTGCCCTCGCCTGAAGGACAAAGTGAGCCTCTGTCTCAATAAAACAAAACCAACAACAACAACACCGCAAGGACGAGGCAGAGTGCGCATCCTTGTCTTATTACTGATCTTCGCGGAAAGAGATCCAGCCTTTTGTATTTAAGCGTGTTGATCACTGTGGGTTTTTGTAGATGCCCTTTACGGGGGTGATGAAGGTCCCTTCAGTTCTGAGTTTGTTGAGAGTTTTTATCATGACAGAGGGTTGGATTTTGTCAAATGTTTTTTCTCTCTCTATTGGCGAAATTATATAGTTTTCATGTATCTTTTTCCTATTGGTATGGTGTCTTAGATTCATCGATTTTCAAATGTTGAACCACCATGCATTCCCAGGATAAATCCCACTTTGTCATTATATATAATCTTTGTTTTAATATGTTGCCGGATTCGGTTTGAAAATTTCATTCGTGTTTTGCATCTGCATCACAAGAGATGCTCTTCCCTAGCTTTCTTGTGATGTCTTTGTCTGGTTTGGGTGTCAAGGCAATACTGGCCTCGTAGAGTGAGCTGGGAAGCGTGTTTTTCTGCTTTTGGTAAGAGCTTGAATAACTGATATTCTTCTTTAAATGTTGGACAGAATTCACAATTGAAACCCTCTGGTTTTCCTTCATGGACAGTTTATTGATCGCTGATTCAGTCTCTTCAGTCATTATAGATCTGTTCTGACTTTCAGTTTCTCTTGAGGCAGTTTTGGTGGCTGTGTCTTCCTAGGAATCTGACCATTTCGTGTAATTTGCTGGCGTACTGTGGTTCACAATATTCCCTTAAAATCCTCTTTATTTCTTTAAGATCAGTGATAATGTCCCGTCTTTGATTCCCGATGAGGAATTTGTGGTTTCTCCCTTTTAATCGGTCACTCTAGCTAGATGTTTGCCAGTTGTGTCAATCTTTGCAAAGAACCAACTTTAACTTTTCTTGATTTTTTTCTCTCTTCTAGTCCATTCACAGTGGCTCTAATCTTTTATTATTTTTTTCCATCTTCTTGAAGAAGGAAGGAAATAACTGAAGTGTACTTTGTGCTTCTTTTCCAGTGTCTAAGTGGTACTGGAAAGGCGTGACTCTGAGATTAGTCATTGCTGGGCTTGGACCTCCTCTCCCCACTTCTCAGCGGAGGGGGTTTGGAAAGACAGCTTCTCTGAGCTTCTGTTTTTCCATCTTTGGGTGGGGGTGGGGGGTCATAGCACTTGGCTCACAGCTGTTGGGAGGACAAAATAAGATACAACTATAGAGGGCAGGGTTCCTGCCCCCGCCCACCAGCAGGTGCTCAGACCTGCGGTTCCCACCCCAGCACAGAGGGCAGTCAGCATCCTGGGCAGTCGGCATCCCGAGCAATCAGACTCAGGCTCCAGCACCGCAGACTGTTTCCCCGTCCAATTCAACGGACTCAAAAGTTTCTCTTTCCTCTAGGCCTGAAAGAGCTCAGCCGGGGGGCCCGCGCCCAGGACTCAGGCAGGCCGGGGTTCACCAGCCAAGCTTTTCCCAGAGAACTGGGAAAAGTACCTAGTCTATCCAGAAAATTCCAGAACAGTTCTTTCTTGAAGAGAGCTGAGTTTTGGGAGGCCTGCTGTGTTAGTGGGAAGCTAGGTGTCTATACGTTGAGGAGAAACCAGTGCAGAAGCCTGTGATCAGATGTCCAGGTGGACCGGCGGTGGGTGGGGATGTGAGGTGCCATCGTGTGTGGCCAGAGTGGACTGGCTGTCGCTGGCTGGATTCCAGAAGGTAATGCTTCCTGACCCTGGGTTTAGTGAGCCTTGGGATGGGTCTGGATGTCCAGGTGCCCCCAAGAGGGCAGGGTGCTCTCAAACAAGGCTGTGGCGACAGAGAACAAGGCCTCCAACGAACCCTCTGCACTGTGTGCCTGCTGACCCCTAGACTGCGCCTGGCTCTCTGCTGCCTCCTTGGCGTCTGTGCTAAGCAGTGGATGAGGGGATTTCTCCTCACCTTTTCTTTTGGGAAAATGATGCTAGCTCTTCACAGGGTGATTCTCTTTGCCGCCCTTTTGGAATTGGAGTTTGCTTTTCCCTGATTCGTAAGGTGTTGCCGGCGGGCCTGTTGGTGGGGATGACTTGGATCCACAGACGGCAGCGCAAAAGTTCAGGTCGTATGTTTTGTGCAGACTGTCGTCACGTGATGGCGCCCCCCGGGGAAGGACGTGACGCAGCCCTGCTCCCAGAATTTCCCAGGGGACCCCTTGACACCTACCGAGCAAGAGCGTCCTTCAGCTGGAAGGAGCTGGCGCTGTTCGCGGAAGGCGAGGACATGCTCCGCTTTAAGGTGAGTTGTACAGGTGCACGCGGCTCGGCCGGTTTCCCAGTGGGGTCTCAGTTCATTGGCAAAGTGGGGTTTCTGGCTTCTGAGCTCCTCCTCTGCCGGGTGAGGCTCACCCCGCGCAGCACGGCCTGTCTCCTCCTTGCACACCAGGGCAGGCCTCAGGGAATTGAGGAGGAGTCTGCCAGGGAGCACGGACTGTTGATGCTTCCTAAGCCTCCAGCCCTCTCATCCGTTGGGGATGACATTCATATTTCTGTCTGGGTGTCTCTGGGTCAGATTATGTCCTATGAAGCCTGTGGCCTGGAGAAAAACTTTATAAGAGCACGTGGAGATTCCATCTTTGCCTCCAAATGCACCATCTCTGTCTCCTGCGTTTTCAGAAAACCATCTTCTCAGCTCTTGAGAATGACCCTCTTTTCGCCCGTTCCCCTGGAGCCCATCTGTCCTTGGAGAAGTACCGTGAGCTGAACTTCCTCCGATGCAAGCGGATCTTCGAGTATGACTTCCTCAGTGTGGGAGACATGTTCGAGAACCCGCTGAAAGTCTCCACCTTGACTCAGTGCCTGGGGATGTATGACTGGTCCCTGGCTGCCAAGTACCTCCTTCATACCTTGGTGAGCACGTGGCTGAGGGGAGAGAGGGCAACGGAGCTTTCCCGCTGCGCGGAGCCTGGAGGGAGGCCGGGCCCAGGGCCAACCAGAAGGCAGAGAAACCAGTTTTTCCAGCTATATTTGCAAATTTTTAAAATTCTCTTTTTAAATGTTCTTAAAAAAATTTCTTAGTCTCCTTTTTCATTATTCTTTTACAGTGCATCCGCCATCACGTATTTGCAAATTTGCATACTAAGTCCTCAAATAAAATAGTATGGTGAAGCTTCAAGTCCCATCAGAGGAGGCGCTGGTGGACTTTTTTTTTTTCTTCATACAGAAAAAGAGATAAATGATTAAAAAAAAATAGGCCAAAAGGAGAAACCTGTGTTTTCCTGCCTTTGGAACATACCAGCAGAGCTGGGCTTGGGCACGGTGGCCTTGCCCTTCTGTGCCTGCACGGTCTGATGGGCCGGTGGGCTCTGCTCTCCACACACCTTCCTGTCCTGTCGCCGCTGCCCTCAGACCCTCAGGACTCCTTGCACGCATCTTAAGTCCCAGGGGATTCTGTGTGACTTATGCGGACTGCTTCGCACAGGCAAGCAGGTCTTTTTTTTTTTTTTTCTTTTTTAAAGATGGGGTTTCACCATGTTGGTCAGGCTGGTCTTGAGCTCCCGACCTCAGGTGATCCGCCCGCCTTGGCCTCCAAAGTGCTTGGATTACAGGCGTCAGCCACCATGCCCAGCCGGGACGCAGGTCTTACTGCTCACAGGAACTCGGAGCCCTGGGGCAGTCATGTGTGGGGAGACCCCGGCCTCTGGTGTCGGGCTGCTGGCTAACCGCCCGGAGCGTCATCCTCCACCTCGGGGAAGCTCAGCGTGGTGGGGAGCTGGCGTGGGCATGGGATTCCACAAGAGCAGTTCTCTTCTCACCTGCCCCTGTTCAGCGGACGATGTTATACTTTCAGGTTTTTGGATCGGCGGTGTTCAGTTCTGGTTCTGAAAGACACTTTGCCTACATTCAAAAGATCTTCAGTATGGAGGTAAGTTCCGGCTCCTGGTGAGTCACGAGCCCAGTTCTCTTGCTCTGTCTCTGTAGAGATTTGTAAAAAGGGAAAATCGCAGGAGGGGTCCCCGGGGGTCCCACACTCTTCTTGTTTCCCAGCGTTTGCAGGCGTCTCACCAGATAGCTAGCACGCACGCTTTTTAGCAAGCACAGGCGCCATCGGCTTGCGAGCACCAGCCCACCTGTCCAGGGCCTTCCACTGTCTTCTCCTGACGAGCGGTTCCCGCCGCCTTGCTGGCTTGGCATGGCTGCGGCCAGCTCGGGTTAGCCTGCTGTGGTGACCAGCCACGTGTGGCAAAATGACTCAGTCAAGTCACTAGCTGGGTAGATGGAAGTTTGGAACTTTGATCCACGGTTCGTCCTTGAAGAAAAGATGGCAGCAGGGTCGCCCGGGAATGTGCACAAAGAACTTTTCGTGCTTTCCATCATTTTGTGCTTTGACGTTTAGATCTTCGGATGTTTTGCTCTGACCGAATTAAGCCACGGCAGTAACGCCAAGGCCATCCGCACAACTGCCCACTACAACCCTGCCACTGAGGTAGGTGCTCCCTTCCCTCGGTCCCAGGGCGTAGAGCGTATGAAACCTCATGAGTGCAAACGCAGCTGCCAGGAATAAGAAAATAACTGAACCAAGAGGCCTGTCCACATGCACAGCGTAGGAATCCACGCAGATTCATGACACTGAAAAGCGGGGCTTGGGAGACCAGGCGTTGGAGGGCCAAACCTGTGCCTGCCGTGACCTGATGGGGAACTCGTGATGGTTTGGATTTGTGTGTCCTTTGAGGGCAGTGGGGAAGCCCTCGTTCTGTAAAGCTGATTGCCTTGTTTACCTGGCGGCCTATTGTAGTGGATTCATAAACCATTCATGTCAGCCGTGGTTTCTGCAGGGGGCCCCTGTGGAGACTCTCGCTCCCTGCCGTCTGCCCTTTGTGGCTGTCCCTCTGTGAACAGCCTGCCTTGTCCATTCCTGCCATCCTCTTGATCTCTCTGGGACCTGCATTGTGACTGCTGCCTGGGGCAGGCGCTGTTGGAAGCTTCCGGTGTGGTGAGGGAGACGGGCCACAGATGGATGTCCCAGGGCTGTCAGTACTGTGAAGGGACCAGGGCAAGGAGGGCAGATGGGGAGGGCCCCCACCGCCTTGCTTTGATCCCCTGCTCCTGCCCCCCTGCCACCACGTCACTCTCCTTGGCCTCCACTTGTCCCTGAGGCCCAGGTCCCTTGCCAGTCCTTCCTCACCCACCTTCTACCCTGCCACTTTGGCAGTGGTCATGGAGAGGAGCGTGGTGAGGCAGGAAGTAAAGCTCTACACCTGTGGGTGTGCTCAATGCTCATCCACCCATTCATTCCACAGCATGGGCTGAATGTGGACTCTGCCTGGGGTACCGCGTGGAAGAGCCCAATAATGAACCCAAGCGGACCCCGGCCAGGGCAGGGATGAGAGGTGGTCCTTGCACGGCGCACTCCTGCTGTGGGGCTTTGGGAGTGAGGCCAAGGCGCCTGCTCAGAGTGGGGCATGAGGCTCTCTTGGGATTTTTTTTTTTAAGCCAGGTCTGTAGGGCACGTCGGGAGCCAGATGTAGGGCTGAGTGCCCCACAGGGTTGTGGGGTGAGCTTTATGCTGTGCTAAGGTGCAGGATCCGAGAAATAAAGAGACAGGACACAGAAGTACAAAGAAAATGCAGCTGGGCTCGGGGGGCCACGCCATCTATAAGCAGAGTCAGGCAAGGCCGGTGAGGCAAGGCTGGCGAGGCCCCGCATGTCCAGAAGCATGAGTATTTATTGTGTATAGGTTAGGGGGCAGGGCAGTGAGTGAAATCATCTTTAAGGATAGTGATAGGGTCATGAGCAATAAAACATAGGGTCCACCCCTATTAGGTCACCGAGGCTTGAAGGTGGGCCGTGCAAAGTGAAGAGGGTGCGGTGTGCGATACTTCTGTCAATGGAAAACTACTTCTAAGAAGATTTATGGGAGGATGCTTTAAGTCACACAGCAGTGGCAGAGCTGTCAAGGTTACCGCCACCTTCTGGCAGCTTCCAATGGGTTCTATGGGAAGATGCTTTTCAAGCAGCACAGTAGCAAGAGCCGAGAAAGGTCACAGTCACCAAGGTGGATTCCCGTTCTGAGGGCGGCCTTCCACTAGAACTGGAGCAAGGTCCTACAACTCCTTTATCAGGAGGAGTGGCTCTCGCCCCAAGCCTGCCATATAGCGGGTATCTTTACGATACTGAACGCTGCCGCCTGGGCCATGGATTCTTGTCCTGGTATAACTGTTTTCCCTTAATTCATGCTCTGCACTGTATCTGCTCCAGGCATTCCTCCAACTATAAGCTGCTTATTCCTTAATTCATGCTCTGTACTGTGTCCACTCTATGCATTCCTCCGGTTATGAACTAAGATATAATTATAGGTATATATGTAGGGAAATATTCTTTAGGCACTCATACTATCAACTATTATATGATTATATATAGAGGATTATATAAAGGGATTCTTCAAGTACTGATTCTATAAACTAATATATGATTATGTGAAGAATTATATAAAAGGAAATAGCTGAGTTGTAGCAGTATAAAGTGAGATATTCCTCAAGCCCTAACTGTGCCAGGGTTCTGCTTAGCTCTCAGTCCTCAGTGCCTATATGGGGGGTTACCCACTTAGGTCTTTATCTGAACCCAGGTCTTTCTGGCACCATGGCCGCCTCTTCTCCCACTGCCCTCTGTGCCTGTGGCCTGCAGTGCCGAGAGGTGGGGACCCTTTCTGATAAGCAGACAGAGGACAGCACCCAGGTGGCCTTGGATGCTCCTCGGGGCATCAGAGGAGCAGTTCCTTTTTCCACCTCCTTCCTCCTGGCTTTCGAGCCCTGAGCGGAGGTCAGAGCATGGCATCAGATCCATGGAGTTGGGGTGCCCGGGATCCTTGGACAGCAGGCATTGCTGGGTACCTGCTGTGTGTGAGGCACAGCTTTCTGAGGCTGGGCAGGAAGCAGTGAGCACAGCAGACCGGTCTCTGCTGTCCTGAAGTTGTGGCAGGGGCCAGGGGGTGGGGGACGCATACACCAATGGGAGAAGTGAGGTGTGCTGGGCACCCTGGAGGCCCCCCAGAGAGCAAGGCCAGTATGACGGGGCACCCGGAGGCAGGCAGACAGCTGAGACGGTGGGGAAGATCGGTGCAGAGCAGCGCAGGCCCTGAGGATCTGGCTTGGGCTGGTGTTGTGAGCATGCACGTCTGCACTGCAGAGAATGAGTGACGGCTGGAGGTACTGAAACTGCTACGTGCTGAAGAGTGAGTGGGGAGAGCCTGGCTGAGACTGGGAGCCCCCTCACCCTGGCAGGTGATGAGCTGGTGGTCCCTGAGAGAAGAGAGCCACCTGCCACTTCTCAGTGAAACTTCAGCATCTGAAGAATTCACTGCTCTCAGTTTACAAAATCCCACTGGCCGGACAGAAGGAAGCCCTCCCTGGCGTGTTGTTTTGTAGCTTCCCACCCTGCAGGGTCGGGAACCAGAGCCAAACTTACCCCGACAGCCAGCCCCTGGCACTGACTGGCCAGCCCTGCGTGGAGGCTGGGGATCACTGTCTCCCGAGGCGGCCCAGGGCTTGGTGGGCCACCTGCGGGCTGTCTGCCTGAAGGTGCTCGTCTTTGTCCGCTTGCAAATCCCAGCCATGTTACATAGTCCTGCTGGTCCGCATCCTGCCTCCCAGCCCTACTCGCAGGCCTCCCAGCAGACGCCCCTCAGGCAGGCCCAGCCCAGCAGCCCAGCTCCTGCCCTTTCCCACCTGCTCTTCGCTCCTGACCCATGCAGCACCCGCCGTGTTTCTGGGGTTTCTGTCCACACCCCTTCTAGCCACACAATGAACCCTGTGATGCCACAGCTTATCCGCTAGTTCGTGCATGCGTTCATTCCTTCCTTCCAATGTTCTGAGCGGCTGCCTTGTGCTCTGGGTGTTTGGCATCTTAACTGTCAGTCATGGAGCTATGGATGGGAGAGACAGCAAGAGGGCAGCAGTGGGTTGTGAATTAGAGTTCGGGAAAGGACTGGGCGGATGGCAGAGCAGGGTTTCCACATACAGGGCGTGGTCAGGGACAGAAGACTGTTCATGATAAGGGACACTCCCCTGAAGCATTTGCCAGCCTACGGAAAATTTTGCATCTGAAGGCTCTTTAAGTTATAAGGCCCAGGGATAGGCCCTGTTTAAAAAATAGGCCTGCCTGTGCCATACAGGAACTGAAGTGTACAATCAGTTTGGACTCTTGCCTCAGAGATTTTGAACGTAGAAAATGGAACCAGTCTAAAAGGAAAAGCACCAATTCTGCGTGTTCTTCAGTTGGTAATGATAACTCACCTTTTTCCTTGTGCAGGAATTCATCATACATTCCCCTGATTTCGAAGCTGCCAAGTTTTGGATTGGCAACATGGGCAAGACAGCCACTCACGCGGTGGTGTTTGCTCAGCTGTACGTGCCGGGGGGCCAGTGCCACGGGCTGCATCCCTTTATCATACAGGTAGGACACTGGTGGGGCCCTCAGTGGGGACAGTGTTTACCCGCAGGAGGTACTGGGAACGTCTGGAGTCATTTTTGTCACAACTAGGGTGGGGGACACTTCTGGCATCTGGTGAGTGGACCAGGGACACTGCCAAGAGCACCCCACAGTGCATCTCACAGCCCTGCCCACAGTGCAGACAGCCCCACCCACAGTGCATAGACAGCCCCACCCAGTGCAGACAACCTGCCCATAGTGCACAGACAGCCCCGCCCACAGTACAGACAGCTCTGCCCACAGTGCAGACAGCCCCACCCACAGTGCACAGATAGACCCACTCATAGTGCACAGACATCCCCACCCAGTGCAGACAGCCCCGCCCACAGTGCAGACAGCCTTGCCCATAGTGCACAGTGCAGACAGCCCCACCCACAGTGCACAGACAGACCCACTCATAGTGCACAGACATCCCCACCCAGTGCAGACAGCCCCACCCACAGTGCAGACAGCCTTGCCCATAGTGCACAGTGCAGACAGCCCCACCCACAGTGCACAGACAGCCCCACCCAGTGCAGACAGCCCCGCCCACAGTGCACAGACAGCCTCACCCACAGTAGACAGCCCCACCCACAGTGCAGACAGACCCACCCACAGTGCACAGACAGACCCACCCATAGTACACAAGACATCCCCACCTAGTGCAGACAGCCCCACCCACAGTGCAGACAGCCCCACCCAGTGCAGACAGACCCACCCATAGTGCACAGACATCCCCACCCAGTGCAGACAGCCNGTGCAGACAGCCCCACCCACAGTGCAGACAGCCCCACCCAGTGCAGACAGACCCACCCATAGTGCACAGACATCCCCACCCAGTGCAGACAGCCCTGCCCATAGTGCACAGTGCAGACAGCCCCACCCACAGTGCACAGACAGCCCCACCCAGTGCAGACAGCCCCACCCAGTGCAGATAGGCCCACAGTGCACACAGCCCCGCCTACAGTACAGACAGCTCCACCCACAGTGCACACAGCCCCACCCAGTGCAGACAGCCCCACCCAGTGCAGACAGGCCCACAGTGCACACAGCCCCGCCTACAGTACAGACAGCTCCACCCACAGTGCAGACAGCCCCACCCAGTGCAGACAGCCCCACCCACAGTGCACAGACAGCCCCACCCAGTGCAGACAGCCCCACCCAGTGCAGACAGACCCACAGTGCACACAGCCCCGCCTACAGTACAGACAGCCCCACCCACAGTACAGACAGTCCTGCCCACAGTGCACAGCCCCACCCACAATACACAGTCCCACCCACAGTGCTGACAGCCCCGCTCATGGTGTATCCACAGCCCACGGTGCACAGACAGCCTTGCCCTTGCCCTAGAAAGAACCATCCAGCCCAGTGTCCCCCAGTGACACGGCTGAGAGGGCCTGGCCAAAGCTGGCGGCGAGAGTGCGGGCCTCTGAGACGGTCTGGTTGATTTGACACACACAGTTTTTCAATTTCGGTGAAGTCATTTTGTATGTTTTTCTTTTGTTTCTCATGTCCTTTATTTTCAGTTGACCTGAACATTTGAGCTGCTGCAGACCAGAGAGATTTTTTCATTGTTGTAAGGATACACGGAAAAACCACGGTGCTTTTCCTACTGTCGTGCAGCCAACACAACACTTTTTTTTTTTTTTTTTTTTTTTTTTTTTTTTTTCAGTTTTTTTTTTTTTTTTTTTTTTTTTTTTTTTTTTTGGGACGGAGTTTCGCTCTTGTTACCCAGGCTGGAGTGCAATGGCGCGACCTCGGCTCACCGCAACCTCCGCCTCCTGGGTTCAGGC